CATCGGAAATCGCGGGCTTCCGCCGCCGAGCGAGGCAGCACCGGCCGCATGTTGGGGAGGGCACCTCCCCCGATCCATGGATTAGGCGACCCCGCGCCAAATCCATGGATCGCTAATCCATGTTTGCGCGCCCGCGATGATAGGCTCAGGGGGGGCGCATCGCCCCCCAACAATCGCCCAAGCATCGCCGACAGGAGGCCGCGAGCCCATCCCGCCCAACCAGCGTGCGGGTTCGCTCTCTCGTGGGCCTATCGCTGGCGCACTGGTGGTGCAGCCTTGCCTCCAGAAGAGCAGGAGCATATGGGGAGAGAGAGCAGAAGCTGGAGCGTGAGCAGCAGGAGCAGAAGCAACCGTGACAGCAAGAGCAGGTGGAGGAGGAGGAGGAGGAGGAGGAGGAGGAGGAGGAGGAGGAGGAGGAGGATGGAGAGGAGGGAAAGAAGGCGGGGGAGGACGAGGAGGGTGAGACTCGGCGAGGCGGGGGAGGGAGATGCGGAGGGTCAAGAGGATGAGGCGGAGGGAGAGGCGGAGGAGGGAAGGCGAAAAGGCAGAGGGAAAGGATGTAGATCAGGAGGAGGGGATTCGGCCGGGCCTGTGAGTCCTCGACAGCGGAGAGAGTGGAGAAGAAGGAGGAGAGGGGAGATGAAGAAGGAGGAGGAGGAGGAGGAGGAGGAGGAGGGGGAGGAGGAGGAGGAGGAGGAGGGGGATGACCAGCGTAAGCCCAATCTGCATCAACGATGTTGCAACGCACCCTCCCGTCCCAAGCCTTCTCCCAGGAAGCCCCATGCAAGCCTTCATCTGCACCACAAAAATGTGCACCCTTCATAGGCCAGCACTCCAAGGGCCTGCCTTTATGGTGGAAGTTCCGCTCTGGAGAGAAACCGGTTTGCATGTTCCTAGCGATTATAATCTTGAGTCGGGCCTGTCCCTTTGCAGCAGGCATATCCAAGAATAATCCCAAAATAGTGCGGGGGCGATTTCTCCAGCATTCTTGACCGTTTTTGAATAAGTTTTGGGTGTTCTTGAGCTTTCGTCCAAACTCCGCCTGCAGGGGGACAGGCCCGACCTAAGATGAATCGAGAACGCGGAGAAGATTTGGCCATACGGTTCCACGAGGTGTGCAGCGAGATCCACGTTTTGAAAAAAAAAACAATTAGCCTGGCGAAGGACCCAACCATATGCAGTTGTGAATGCCGCAATTGTGCTGGGTGGTGGCGGACGCATGCGGGCGGTGCCACTGGGACCTTCGGTGGAGCTCCCTATGGGGCCACGAAACGCTGTACTAGGTGGGTGAGACGCGGTCAGCAAGGGCTGTGCTGCGTGGTGGCGGACGCATGCGAGCGGTGCCACTGGGACCTTCGGTGGAGCTCCCTATGGGGCCACGTAACGCTGTACTGGGTGGGTGAAACGCAGGCAGGGAGCAAGGGCTGTGCAGGGTGGTGGCGGACGCATGCGGGCGGTGCCGCTGGGACCTTTGGTGGAGCTCCCTATATGGCTACGAAGCGCTGTTCTGGGTGGGTGAAGCGCAGGGAACAAGGGCTGTGCTGGGTGGTGGCGGACGCAAGCGGGCAGTGCCACTGGGACCTTTGGTGGGGCCCCCTTATGGGGCCACGAAACGTGCGAGGGGTGTGCCAGAATGGGGTGTGGAACCGCATGCGGGCGCAGCCACTGGGGCCTTCGGTGGAGCTCCCTATGGGGCCACGAGACGTGTGAAGGGCGTCCCGAAAAAAAGTGGGTGGAAACGCATGCGGGCGCAGCCACTGGGGCCTTCGGTGGAGCTCTCTATGGGGCCACGAACCGTGTGAGGGGTGTGCCAAAATGGGGGGGAACCACATGCGAGCGCAGCCACTGGGGCGCTCGGTGGAACTCCCCATGGAGCCACCCACGAAGCGTGTGAGGGGTGTGCCGAAATGGGGGGTGGAACCGCATGCGAGCGCAGCCACTGGAGCGTTCGGTGGAGCTCCCTATGGAGCCACGAAACGTGTGAGGGGTGTGCCAGAATGGGGGGTGGAACCGCATGCGGGCGCAGCCACTGGGGCCTTTCGGTGGAGCTCCCTATGGGGCCACGAAACGAGTGAGGGGTGTGCCAGAATGGGTGGTGGAACCGCATGCGGGCGCAGCCACTGGGGCTTTCGGTGGAGCTCCCTATGGTCCCCGAAAAACGTTGAGGGGTGTGCCAGAATGGGGGGTGGAACCGCAATTTCGGGCGCCCATGGGGGGGGGGGGGGGGGGGGGGTGCCTCTTCGGTGGAGCTACCCTATGGGGCCACGAAACGTGGTGGGGGTGTGGCCAGAAAGCGGGTGTGAAACCGCATGCGGGGCGCAGCCACTGGGGCCTTCGGGTGGAGCTCCCTAGGGAGGGTCCACGAAAACTGTGAGGGGTGTGCCAGAATGGAGGGTGGAAACCGCATGCGGGGGCGCAGCACTGGGCGTTCGGTGGAGCTCCCAATGGGGCCAACCAGCACGACGAAACGTGTGGATGGGGTGTGCCAGGAAATGGGGGGTGGAACCGCATGCGGGCGCAGCCACTCGGCCTTCGGTGGAGCTCCCTATGGGGCCACGAAACGTGTGAGGGGGTGTGCCAGAATGGGGGGTGGAACCGCATGCGGGCGCAGCCATTGGGGCCTTCGGTGGAGCTTCCTATGGGGCCACGAAACGTGTGAGGGGTGTGCCAGAATGGGGGGTGGAACCGCATGCGGGCGCAGCCACTGGGGCCTTCGGTGGAGCTCCCTGTGGGGCCACGAAACTTGTGAGGGGTGTGCCAGAATGGGGGTGGAACCGCATGCGGGCGCAACCACTGGGGCCTTCGGTGGAGCTCCCTGTGGGGCCACGAAACTTGTGAGGTGGGTGCCCAGAATGGGGGGTGGAACCGCATTAATTGCGGGCGCAGCCACTGGGGCTCATTCGGTGGAGGCTCCCTATGGGCCACGAAACAGTTGAGGGTGTGCAGACAAAAAAAAAATTTTTTGGGGGGTGGTAACCGCATGCGGGGGCGCAGCCCCTGGTGCTGCGTTAGGAGCTCCCAATGGGGCCTACGAAACTTGGTTAGGGTGTTGGTGCCAGAATGGGGGGTGGTACCGCATGCGGGCGCAGCCACTGGGGCCTTCGGTGGAGCTCCCCCATGGGGCCACGAAACGTGTGAGGGGTGTGCCAGAATGGGGGGGTGGAGCCGCATGCGGCGCAGCCACTGGGGCCTTCGGTGGAGCTCCCTATGGGGCCACGAAACGTGTGAGGGGTGTGCCAGAATGGGGGGTGGAACCGCATGCGGGCGCAGCCACTGGGGCCTTCGGTGGAGCTCCCTATGGGGCCACGAAACGTGTGAGGGGTGTGCCAGAATTGGGGGTGGAACCGCATGCGGGCGCAGCCACTGGGGCCTTCGGTGGAGCTCCCTATGGGGCCACGAAACTTGTGAGGGGTGTGCCAGAATGGGTGTGGGAGGGGGAGGAAGGGGGAGGAAGGGGAGGAGGAGGAAGGAGGAGGAGGAAGGAACGCGGGGCGACGTCTCTTCAAAACGAGGACCCAACACCACAGGATGGTTGGGAAAAAACCGTTCGCTTTGTGTGCAGGTGCAGCACAGGTGGAAATTTCAGGCCAGGCACCTCCAGGAAGTCGCAGGCAAGCTCCACCACTTCGCCACAAGAAACCGCCCTCCGTCCGTCCAGCTGCTACATTCAGGAGGGGGAAAACACGCCGACACAATGAATCGTCGATTCCCCAGAACATGTGGGAAAATGTGGGAAGTGGGGGGAAGACAAACATCCGGAAAAGATTCGGAAATATGGGGAATCCTGTTATTATTTGTGTATCTTTATTTGCGTGTCCCAGGGCCCCGTCATACATCTGCTCAAGTGGAGCGAGAGCACCACTTTAAAAAGGGAATTGCCACCCACCCTTGTAGCTGTTGAAAACGGTCAGGGCGAATGCTCACGGCGCTGAGCCGGGAGCCCCATTTTGAAAAGGAGCCGTCCCCCATGTTTGTAATTGTTGCATGTTTGTACCACGAATTTGCTCGGCCCTACGACGAGAGCCGCATCTTGAAACGGAACCGCTCTCAACCCGTGAAACTGCTTGATCCAAAAGCAAGTGCGCGCAACGCTGAGGCGAGAGCCGCATGTTGAAACCAAGCCGCCCATGCTTGTAGCTGCTGCAGGCGTGTAAGACGAATGCGGCCGCCGCTACGGCGGCAGCTTGATTTTGGAAGCCACTACCTCCATGCCTGTGCCAAGACGTCATGTGCTGCCGCGGGCGTGGCGCAGGCCCGTCGCGCTTCCCGTGCGCGAGCCACCGCGCTCCGCAGAGGCGCTGGTGCTGACCGGGCCATCGCTGCAAAAGCGCGCTCCAGAAAAAAAAACAAAAAAAAAAAAAAAAAAAAAAAAAACACGTCTTCCATGATTGTAACGTCGCAGGCGTTCAAGAGTCAGGGTCGCAAGTTGAATGGGAGTCTCATGCGAAACGCCCCGCCCGCCCGACACGCCTGGTGGTCTGACAAGATGGAGCAATATGTAAGGAGAAGGAATGGCTGCAAGACGGAGGGGCGGAGGCGGGAGAGGAGGAGAAGGAGGAGATTGAGGAGGGAAGCGGAGGAGGAGGAGGAGGAGGAGGAGGAGGAGGAGGAGGAGGAGGAGGGTGGGAGAGAGGTGGGAAGGAACCGCTGGAGCAGAAGCCGTTGCAGGAGCAGCAGCCAGAGCAGGAGCAAGAGAGCATGCAGGAGCAGGAGCGAGTCAGAAGAGCAGGAGGGGTGGAAATGAGGGGATACTTTGCCCGCATGCGTTACCTTCGGCGGTCTCCGCCGGCTTGGCCACCCAGCCCGGGCCACCCCCCCCTCCCCGCCCCTCCCCTTGGCATCGCTCGGACGTGTGCATGTTTCCTTCGGCGAGGACCGTCGAGGAGCATCCTTGATCATTTGGCGAAAAAGCCACGCACGAAACCTAAAAAATCACAGGGAATGGACGTCCGAGCGATGGCAGGCGCCCCTCCCCGTTTCCCCGCTCGCCCCTGACCAAGGGGCGCGAGAATTACACGGCCCTCCACGAGGCCAGCTTCTTCCAGCAGACGTCCGCGGCTGGCCTCCTAGAAGCACGGGTGGCATGTAAGCGCAGGTGATCTTTTTGTGATTCATTGCTTTACCGATCGGCACAAACCCTCGCACCCCCCCTCCCCCCCCCATGGAGTAGATCTTGGCCGTTTTTGGCGCCTGTTTTAGGCAGGTGGGGTCTCCCCCACAGGACACACGGCCCCAAACAGACGCCACTGAGCAGAGGTCCAGGGCCAGACCCCTCCCCCCTCCCCCCCCCCATCCGCCCCATGTCGAAACGCCGAATGAAAAAAACGTTCACCAGCTGCGACCGCTCCGGTGATCACTCGGCGCAGCCGCGCGCACGCGTGGGTGCGTGTGCTGCTGCGCTCGCACGCGGCCGCGAGCGCTGCGCGTGCGCGTCGCTTTGCTTGAGGATCTGCGGACGTGGTTGCGCGTAGGCTCCGGGTGGCTGCAGGAGGCTCACGGGCCCAGGCATCCGACGTCATGACGTAGGCAATGCGCGGCCCAGGGAGGTCCCCCCGGTGCCGGCTTAGGTCAGGCAGCAGGTGCGAGCGATGTTGGAGTCAAGGTTCCGTTTTGGGAAGTACAGGGACCTGCACGTGTCGCCGGTGGACTACGCCGGTCGTAGGATTATACGTGGACACCCCAGCGCAGCACAGCTGACCACGAGAAGTACATCCTGCAAGAACTCAGGCTCCTCAGCATGGCTCCCGGGAGGCTCAGTAAGAAGGGCACCCAGTTGGACCCGACAGAATTCAAGGCTCTGAGGTCCCTCGTACACGAGCTGAATTGGGTAGGTCGAGAGACGCGTCCAGGAGCGTCAGGGGTGGCGAGCATTCTGGCATCAAGGCTGAGACAGGCGACTTCTTGGGACGTCTCATGCGCCAATAAGCTGGTGCGTCATCTGAGAAGCACGGCCTCCAGAGGCCTGTCGGCGTGGCGTCTCGATCCCAGCAAGATGGCCTTCATTACCTTCTCGGACGCAGGAGGAGTGGGGGCTGACGCCAGCGGGGTCGACTCCAAGGGGGCTCCCCGAGGATCCGACTCAGGGGGCGTGGATGGTGCTGGCTACCGATCAAAATGTGCTGCAGAACCGCTCAGTGAGAGCGTCGATTCTCGGGTGGAGGTCGTCTAAGCTCAGAAGAAAGGTTCCATCCACCCTCGCAGGCGAGACACTGGCCCTAGCATCAGCAGTATCCGAAGTCGAGCACTTGCAAGTGCTGTGCAGAAGCGCAGTTTTCCAGGATGTAGCTATTCCAGAGTGTTCGAGAGCTCCAGGACCGTTTACTACTGTCCTCCGACAGGACTGCAGGCTCGGACATCGAGAGCGATATATTCATGTTATGGATGCCAAGAGTATTTATGATACGATGGCGAAGGACGGGACAGCGAGTGCGAATGATAGGAGGACGGCCCTGGCTTTGGCGATCATCTGCGATTCGCTCGAGCGATCGAAGGGAGTCGTGAGGTGGGTGCCACGCTCTAGGATGCCGGGGGACCCCCTCACGAAGGACGACGTTACCAAAGTGAACGCCGCCCTGTTTGACCTGATGGCGTCTGGCCGCCTACTGTTGGTAGATGGAACGAGAGCTGGCCGGCAGGCGGGAGGATCCTTCGCAGAAGGCAAGGTCGCAAGCTGCATCCCCCAGGACATTCGCCAAGGATCGGGCGTCCGTCAGTTGGACGTCATTCGTGTCCGAGTCCGGTGCCGAGCCCGACGGTTCCGGCCAATTCCCGTGATCTCTTCTCCCTCCTTCTTCTCTCCAAAGACGCGCGTGTGCGCTGGCGTGCAGTGCGGGTGCACAGGGGCAGGTGACAATCACCAAGCCCGCGAGCTGAGGCGTGCTTTCACACGCTTGGGTCAGCTAAACATATTAGGATTGACCAGTGAGAATATCTGGCACAATTTCGTGCTTAGGTTTAGCTTTTTAGTTTCCCTGACCCGGGCCCAGGGGATTGGGCCCTTTCTGGTACCTGTACACCATACTGGCTCAAGTCCAAAACCATTTGCTGCTGCTCCTGCTGCCACAGACATACTGTTTCTGATCCCCTGCCAGCGGCACATCACCGAGTGTATATTCGCCGTTGGACTATTACGCAGGCTCACCGCGTCAGTTGGCCTACTTGCATCACCTCCCCGCGCTTCGGCTAACAGTCCTACTCGAACTGGGACAGCATCATGATGAGCTGTTCCACGTTAGTCGTCTGTCGATGTGCCTTCGATCTTCCCCCTGATCGTCCTAGTTATCCTTCCTTCTCCACCTCAGAACCTGCTCGTCCTCCATATCCTTTTCGTCTCCTTAAACCCACGATTGATGACACACTTGGAAACGCGAAGTGAAATTATTTCCGATCCAACATCGGCTTAGAATATGTTCCCTGGAGTTCCCGCGCAAATTCCAAATGCGTGCTGGGACCGTACCCAGAGCAACTGGGCCCCGCACAAGGTTCGCGATTCAACCCCAATCAAGACATCATTCAGAAGTTGTGTCCGACAGCGAAACCAGGACGCACTCGTATGTAGTATTGCCCCGTGCAGTTTTCGGGTAGATTCTCGAACTCTTCGAGAGCACCGTTGGGATCTCCGGTGGAACTCCCGAAGATACGTCCGATGTTTTTTTTAAGCGCATGCCTTACCTTTCAACGCCTGATGGACACATTTCCGCAGTCTTCCACTGAGGTCGAGTTCTTGCTACGGGCGAGCGCGCAGCCTGACGCGAGGCGCTCGGGGGTGGAGGAGGATGGGGAAGGATCAGCAGGGGGAAAGAGAGGAAGAACGGGAGGAGGAGGAGGAGGAGGAGGAGGAGGAGGAGGAGGAGAAGGAGGAGGAGGAGGAAGGGAAAGGCGCAAAACCACGTAACAGGAAGAACCACAATGGGCGAGGAAGAAGGAGGACGAGCCAGGAGAAGGAGAGGAAGGAGGAGAAGAGGAAGAGGACTGTATGAAGAGATAAAGAGGTGAGGAGTAGAGGAGCGAAAGGAGGAGGAAGAACGGGAGGAGGAGGAGGAGGAGGAGGAGGAGGAGGAGGAGGAGAAGGAGGAGGAGGAGGAGAAGGACGCGGAGGAGCAGAAGGAGGAGGATGAAGGGGCTCAGGCGGGTGTTTCGAGGAATGGAAGGACGGTGGGAGACGAGGAGCGCAGGAGAGCGGATGGGAGCATGATACGATACAGGAGACGAGGGCAACAGAGATTGGTGGAGGAGAAGGGGGAGGATGAGCGGGATGAGAAATGGGAGGGCAGGGCAAGGGAGAAGAGAAGGGGAGTTGTGAGGAGGGCGGTGATAGAGCGATGTGCAAGAGGATGGTGCAGTACACGTATAGGCGAGGGTAAGAGAGAAGAGAGAGGGGGGGAGGAGCGGGGAGGGCAGTCGAGAAAGATGAGCGAAGAGGAGTGTGCGCCGGGGGAAGAGGGGTTGAGGGTGAGAGGAAAAGCGCGTCGCGATCGCTCTCTTAACCCCACGGTCGACCACGGGATGAAAATTATGGCACCGGAGAAACCCCAATCATAATATCAATCATAATATGTCTATGGCTATTGGGCTATAGGGCTATACGTCTATAGTGATAGGGCTATAAGACTATGAAGCTATAGGGCTACAGGGCTAAAAGGGCTAAAATGATAAAGGGGTATAGGGTGATTGGGCTACAGGGCTACAGGGCTATAGGGCTGTAAGGCAATGTGGACATAGAGCAATAGGGCTACAGGGTTATGGGGCTATGGGGCTATAGGACTATAGGGCTATAGGGCTATAGAGCTACAAGGCTATAGGGCTATAGGGCTATAAGGCTATAAGACTATAATGCTATAGGGTTATAGGACTATAGGGCTAAAGGGCTACAGGGCTATTAGGGCTACAGGGCTACAGGGCTATAGGGCTACAGGCCTATAGGGATATAGGGCTATAAGGCTATAAGGCTACAGGGCTATAGGGCTATAGGGCTACTGGTCACCTGGTCACCTGGGCACCCGGGCACCTGGGCGTGCCGCCGAAATCGGTGCCACCCCCTTACCTAACCATATGAATCCGCTAGGACCCCTACAGAGGCAAGCTCTGGTTTGGGAATTTGTATCCAACAAAGTTTGCGTTGATTCCTATGTGCGCGCCACACGGCTGATCGAGTGATTGAAACGTTGCGTTGGTATCTATTCAGCCCGCATGCTGTCAGACAGGGTGCAATTGGAGCGTGTCTTGGTCGAGTGCGATTCTTCGTTGAAACCGACAAGTGCTGTATTGGCCAGTGCGTTGTGCGTTGGCCGAGTGCGTTGGCCCCAACTCGTAAAACAGGTATTGACATCTCGCCGTGTTTGACATATAGCCGTAACGTGAACATCATTTGCGCGGAAATTGAAGCTCGGAGTTGTAATTGTTTATCAGAGTGAGGGGGGCGAACCGTCGTTCATTGTCCTTGGGTGCGTGGTTGAAGTGCGGATCCGTGGTAAGGATAATGTGTGTTGCATTGTTGCTGCTGTTGTTGTTGCTGTTGTTGTTGTTGGTGGTGGTGGTGCTGTTGTTGGTGTTGGTGTTGCTGTTGTTGCTGATGTTGTTGCTGTAGCTGATGTTGTTGTAGTTGTTGTTGGTGGTGCTGTTGCTGTTGTTGCTGCTGTTGTTGCTGTTGCTGTTGTTGTTGGTGGTGTTGGTGTTGGTGTTGTTGTTGGTGTTGTTGTAATTGTTGTTGCTGCTGCTGCTGTTGTTGTGGTTGTTGTTGTTGTTGGTGGTGGTGTTGTTGTTGTTTGTTGTCGTCGTCCCCCCCCCGCGACCCGGCCCGCGACCCACCCGCGACCCACCCCGCGACCCACCCGCGACCCACCCCGCGACCCAACCGCGACCCACCCGCGACCCGCCCGCGACACACCCGCGACCCACCCGCGACCCACCCGCGACCCACCCGCGACCCACCCGCGACCCGCCCGCGATCTGCGCCGATCTTCGCCCCGGACCCGCTCTTGATCGTCTCGGAGCCGCCCCAGGGGCCAGAGTCGAGGAAGAACAACGCTGGGATCGAATACGGTGGGGGGGCTCGTTGAGGAAGGCGCCCAGGAGGCCTCAGACCCTGGGGGAGTGGCTGGGGATGCCTTGCCTGGCGAGGGCGGTGGCGCTATCCATGGCCAAGCCCCACTGGGTGTTCACACCAGCTTCCAGACCCGAAGGGTTCCTGATTCCATGCCCTCACCGTACTGAGGCGGGGGGGAGGGGGGAGGATTCGAAACAAAAACAACATGAACATACACTTGTGGCGCTCCGCGCGGATTTCTCGGCTCCGCGTTGGGGCCACCTGGCGGCGGCGCGCTCCGCGCGCCAGGGAGGGGGTCCAGCGCGAATCCAAGAAATCCGCGCGGAGCGCCACAATTATCTGTTTATGCAGTTGTTCCGTCTTCTATAATTGGTGCTCACACTGGCTTCCAGACCCTAAGGGTTCTTTATTCAATGCCCTCACCGCACTGCGGAGGGAGGAAGAGGAGGAGGAGGAAGATCAGGGACAGGAGGGACGGTCGGTCGGATCGGGCATTGAGGCGGTCCTCGTGCCGTGATGGGGGAATGGCTCACACCCCGTGAGCCAGGGGCAACGTAACTCTTATTCCGCACGCCATCCCCTCAGTGCGAGGAGGGGTACCCAGCCCTGAGCCCGAGCTTGCCATGGGGCACCAGGCCCGCCCGGCACAGACCAGGAGCAGGGGCGGCGACGGAAAGGCGTGAGCCTCTGAAGCGAAGCAAATAACTGACTGCGAGAGGGAGGCAGAAACCAGCAGCCGGTTTATCCAAAAATGACCATTGAGGCGCCACGGCTTGAGATGTCACGGACTCGGCGCGTCGCGTACTTGAGCGATGCCATCAGCCATCATTAATGCGGGTGCATGCTCTCGAAACCCAAACCTGGAAGAGCGCCGTTGCTCGACTGCGAAGCAGAAGTTAACGTCAGGCCGACGTGTGATAGCCCAATGCGCTAACCGGGAAAGGAGCTGTGCAGTATGAGCGAGCAGTGTCATAGAAATTGCACGTGCCGCGGCCGTGAACTGTCACGGAGTCGGTGCCCCACTCACCGCTGCGACAGCATTCACAACGATCCAAAGCTGCATGGCCTCTGTCGCGCGGGTAGGCCGGTACACCCAAAATCACCAGCAGGAGGGACGGAGGAGGGAGGAGGGGGAGAAAGATGAGGAGGAGGAGGAGGAGGAGGAGGAGGAGGAGGAGGGGGAGGAG